GCATGGGGCAGGAGAGGGGCTGCTTTTCCCTGCCCCTGCTGGCAGCCTGGGACCCACGCCGCCTCTGGGCTCACCCATCAGGGCTGTGCACAGCGGCAACAGCTGCACCTCTTGCCCTGCTTGCCGTGCTGGGCAGCGTTTGCTGCTGCTGCCCGCCCAGAGCTCACGCGCTGCCTTGAGTCTAAAAAAGTTGAGAACTACTGGATTAACCAAAATGGGCATGCACACAGCATGCATACAACAGATAAAGACCCTGGATCTACCTCTGAGACGGAACTATTAATTGCCACAGAATCAGACTCCCCCTTTCTCTAGGGATAAACAATCATGGCTCCATTGTATTCAATGGTGTTCCAATGGCATTCCTCCAAGTGAACTGTTTGACCCGTGTTATTCCAGATTTAGCTCACTGGGTGCACTTAGTTTGTCCACCAATTACTCCAGCCATTTTAGCTTACCTAATAAGTGGGTCTTTGAGGCCTGGACTTTATCTCCACACATAACTGTTATTGAGCATTTCATGCGTCTATATTTCTTATTATAAGAAGTGGACTTGTGTGAGTTTTAATTTCATTGTAGCCAAGGTAATTTTCAACAGTGGAGGATCGGGCAGGGAACTTGCCTGAGCTAAGTATACTATGGAGAGACTCATACTGCAGATCCCCAGTCTCATTCCTACATAGCCAATATTGCTCCTGATCTGAAGCAGTCTCTACCACTCCAGTTCTGAACCCTTGTGCCCCACTGATTCTACCTATGCACTTCAGTCTTGACCTTTAGTTTCATTCATTACTCATTGCAGCTGGGGTTGTGGTGCTATGGGCACTAAGGTGCACAGTTGATAGCCCGGAGGTCGTAAGTTAGAGGTCGTAGCAGAAGTGCTCATGACCCGGGCCTGTCAGATTCCAATGAATCTGCAAATTCTGGTAAATACCTTGTCAGAAGGACATGAAAAAGGAAAGGACTCATTCCAGCCAATAGGACTGAAATATGGTAATGAACAGTATGTCAGTAAGTGATGACTGTCTGAGTCGCAATGATCTTCTACCTAAAGCATCCAATACATACTTTGTGGCAAGCTTTCTAGCATTCTGGCTTTCCATTTGTACCAGAATCCATAAGGTTCTTCTTCCCAGTACCTCAAACATTTGGTCTGACACCAAAATTTTGAAAGCAATCACTGTGGTCCTAAAAAAATACTGCTTTAACAAATTGTGTATGCATTACACAAAGTTTTAAATTCTTCAGAGCCTTTTCTAACAAATATGGACTTCAACCCAATGCCACTTAACAGTCAATGAGGGTGCTGCATGGAAAGGAAGTCACAAAAATCAGAAGTCCCCTGACTAGGCAGGCCAGAACAGAAGGAGCTGTGAGTGGTCTGAGAATTTTAGCCACTCTGCTTGAGCAGGGGAAGACAGGAAATGTTGGTGGAACAGTGTCAAAGAGACAGCTGGAGGAATGACACTTGTACAAGGAGATGAAATGTGTGTAAGATCTTACAAGAGAGGTAAGCCTGGTAGTTCCAAAGCAAGGAGTTAGAGAGAAAAAAGCTGGAGTAAACACATGAGTGCAAGCCAAATACTGAACACAGAATGAATGTAGTATGGAAGATGAAGTTAAAAAAATAGTGAAAGGTGGCACTCTCTGACTCCTCCACATAGAAAATAGGTGTTAAAATATATCAGAAAATTACACTGTCACTATTCTTAGTAAAAGAGGAAGATGCAAATAGCTTCTGAAACTATGAGCATCTTACAAGGGATAAGTCAGGTCCCTTGGGCCAGTACGTTCACCACACTGTGCTACTGCAAAAATCAGACTTTTCTTAGTTTGCAAGTACTGATGGTGTTGAGATTCAACATAAGCAGGATACCTGCTGCTTTCCACATTCCAGGTTAGTCAGAGAAGCCTGTGCAGCTTTGTAATAGTTTTTAAATCAAGGACAATATTCTGTCAGACATGAAAAACAAAAGAACATTTACAGAGGTTTGCAGCCAGACCAACAGAAACCATGGAGATGGATAATTATTGGCTGTGCAGAGCCTATATGACTGATCTAGGACATACCCTGCAAAGTGGTGGGGGAAAGATCAGAGCCAGCCAAGAAGCTGGTCAGCAGAGAATAGCTCACATCCACTACACAAAAGCCCCCATGAGGGCTTCCCTAGGTCCTGAAGGTTTATAAAAAGTGGGTACTGTTTTTTAATATACCTCTGACATTCTAGGAAGGAAAAAGATTTCTGACAATCTGGAGGGGAGACAACTCTACAACATAAGCTACATGAAAGCTTGTGTTTAACCTTTTACTTGGTGCTGGCAGAAATGAGAAGGTGGGAGCGGCACAGAATTGGTCCACAGCCAGGAAGAATGGCATGGGGCTGACCGAACTGGGCTGGCCAAATTGGGCCCATGGATACCCCACACCCTCTCACATGCCAGATGCAGTGCCAGAGATGCCTGCTCCAGTTGGTCTGGGATGGGCACAGGAAGCAGGGTTCCTGAAGGGGGCATGACGACTGCCTGCAGGCGGTGGCGGTGTCAGCAGTGGGGTGTGGCAGCGGCGAGTGGGGACTGCTCACAGGTGGCTACGCCAGTGTCAGCGGCGAGGGTGGGCCAAATGGGAACTGTCTGCAGCTACCTGCAGTGGCAGGACCCCCGTGGCTGATCGCCAACCTGGGGGTCCCCCCATGGCCAGATGCCAAGTCTGGCAGTGGTGGCAGCACTTCTGGGAGGGGCGGGAGAGGGGCACCAGTGATCTGCCTGCCCCCGCTGCCTGTTGCCTAAGCTGAGAATGCTTACTCTCAGGGGGGGCGACAGTGCTCTCAGGGGATGCCCGTGCACCTGCTACACATCGCCTATGGATATATATAATTTCAGTGAGTGTCAGTAATATTTTATAGGGTTGTAGCTGTGTTCATCTAAGGACCAACTATTCACTCCATCCAGGAAGAGAGCACACCAACCGCAGATGCTTCCTCAGCCTGACGTAGGGTATTTATACCCGAAAGCTTGCTAAGAAGAATTTTTCCAGCTATTTGAACTGGTCGAATAAAAGATATCAGATTTACCCAAAGAACCTTGTCTGCCACTAGTATTTTATGTTAGTTCAGTTTTTCCTCAGAACTTAGCAACCATTACTGACAACTTAGTTGTTAAAGTTCTCTCAGAGACAGTATGTGGGTTGTATTGAAAAACACTACACAAAACAGTAGTATGTTATTAGCTAGCAGAATAACTTGATGTAGAATTTAAGTTCAGAGATTTCAAACAAACACCAAAAGTTTCTCTGCTGTAGACAAATGATAGAACCCTGTGTGTATGTATGTTTCCCTCTCTCAGATGTCAGTTGCGCCCCGTTACAGCCATGTAATTTAACTAAATGCTGAAGGGCTCAAAAGAAGGAAAAACCTTATCTTCAGTGTTGTTTCATAAAATACAAAGACACCCCACCCACTCCCAGGAATTCAAGTAATGTATTCACGTACCTATAGCCTGAGCAAGGGCTATCACAACATCCTGGCAAGTTGTTACTTCAGTGACCCCACAAACGATTCTTTGGACTCCATCCACCCATACTTTGAGCTCCATGGTTCACCAGATCAGCCAAGAGCCATGAATGTAATCACCGGTCAAGTCATGTTTACAGTTACACCAAAGATGACAGGGCTGACTCCCCTTACCAGCTGGAAAAGAAAATAATCCTGTCTTTTAGTGCGAGACATAACCAATTTAATTTGGAACCCCCCACAAACTCCCCCCACCTCCACACAACACTCCCCAATTTACTTAAGATCTACAGGAGAGGGAAACAAGAATGCACGAAGTCCTGGATCAGATATTTCTTGAATCTCCAGTTACAGAACCTAACATGCAGAGAAAAACAACATTTAGCTTAAAATGAATGCATTTCGATTGCATTTCTGCATTCTCAGGTGGGTGTTGGAAGCCCAAGAACAGAAGCACCATGCTAACCCTTGAGAACCAGAAAGTAAAACCAGACCCTCTCTTTAAGATGAGGCAATCATACCGTTTCCTACAAAAAAACAGGGAAGAGTAAATTTGATTTTAAAATTCAGTTTATAATAATCTGCAGCTTTACTAACATGGCAGGTATTTTTATTTTACCTGCATCTTTTTCCCCCAGCTACATCAATTTACTATAAACATTAAAATGTTTCAAATCAAGTTGATTTCCTAACATACCCTTTGTACAAAGTATTTCACAAAACACTTGACATGGAGAAATACAGAAAGCCGTTTCTAAAATAAAAAACGAGAATAAAGACTAATAGAAGACACTCAATGAGAAGACTATACAGCTTCCTCCCTGCACTGCTTACTTTTGAAAGTTAAATCTGTGGGAGGCAAGGCATTAACTCTACTTCCCCTGTGCAAAATTGATTTTCACAGTCCAGTCCTTAGTGCAGAAACATCTACTTCATAGAGCCTGCCAAATGCCTAACACCCTTGCAGGCAGGCTCAGCCACGGGACCAAAACAAGCACAAAGACTGAATGATGGAGTTCAAGAAGGAGGTTCACTGGGAAAATTCTTTGGTGAAGTTAGCATATGCCTGCACATAGCATGTCAATTTTGCAGACAGACAGAAGCCTCCGATTACTAAGGATACTATCAATTCTAAACCTTTCATTGGCATTACAATCAATTAAATAAAGGAGGTATTGCATCTGAACTGCAGCTGGTATAATTCAATGTAGCTTTGCTTTTGACAGAGCTATAGCCAATTACATCAGTTGGGGTGCTGGCCCATTAACTCTTAATTTCATCACATGCAAAATTAATTATTAAAATACCTTCCTTTCATCTAAAAAGGTTTAATCCTGAATAAGCAGAAATGCATCATCACCTTTGCTCTGAAATTCCTCAGTCACACACATTCCATGTCAGCATAGTGATGAAGAACAGGTCATAGCAGAGATGATTAAAGATTGGGAGAATTAATTTACAAGCACATTGCAAGAAGACTTTATCCTTCACTCATTCCTTGTGATCAGCTCTCTGTAGGCTGGATCCTCATTACTAAGAGGACAAACCATGCAAAAGTTGTCACCATTCACTTCAAAATAACTGCAGTTCTGAATAAGTGCGGTTTTTAATAGCTCAGCTTTGCTAGGTTCTGTTTTTCTTTTTGCTGAAACAGATCTGTCTGGATTGTGTCCCACAAAAGTTAATTTCTAACTGGGACAACAAAGTTGTTGAATTTCAAAGACTTCAAAGTAACTCCAAGGAAGCACTGCCCAGATTGTTTAAGATAGGATGCTAGTGAGGTTGTTTTTTTTTGTTTTTTGTTTTTTAACATAAGGAGATAGTTGGATTATTTAACAGATGGAGAAAAATAAACTGCATTAATACAGCAAAGGAAACTCAAATATTTGGGTAATCCCATATGGATAAAGGATAATATAAGAAGGGACGATGTTTTCAAAGACTTAAGTAACAGGAAAGCAGACAATAGGGACGGAGAAAAAAAGAGATTTGAAAGTTATTTAGAGGAGATTATCACAAGAAAGAGGGGTTGGTTACACAAAACAGCTGGAATCTGAATCTGCTGATGGACCTAATACAATTATACTTGGAGGCAAAACTGGTGTGGAAAGAATTCTGGACATAAATGCTTAACAGTTTGTGTTTTGCAATTTGTAAACTAAACTGAATATTTTGCTTTCTAATGAGAATGTTCCTGCTTCTATTTTTAAAAAAGTGCGAGTCTATCCCTTTAGTCACAATGGAGAGATTATTCTATTTTTAAACCCAATATTTTATTGCTACACCTGGTACATATTTGACAGACTACTCAGGCAGCTGGCTGATCTGCATTTGGTAAGGTGTGACTCAGTAAACAACTGGCCACAGACCTCAAGTGGACCTCGAACCTGCACCCATGGTAGTCAGTGCTTCAAGTTCTTATGGAGCAGAATCTGAAGTCTATTCAGCAAATACCAAAAAAAGCCTGCATGACCAGACTTCTACACAAAAGGAACAATGACATTTATCAATAAAAGCTAATCTCAAAATCACGTGTCTCATGTTTCTGAACAAGAGGTTCTCAACCTTTTTTAGACTCAAGGCACCCCTGGATATACTCAAGGCACCCTTTGAAAATCCCAGCTTAGTATTCACTCTTTTTTGACTACTGAAAAATAGAGCCATTTTTCTGTTGCAAAGAACTCAGAAAGACCACAACTATGGATTTCTATTTGAAATCTCTGCGTGCATCCACACATGCAGGAACATATGCTTGCAGCAGCTCAAATAGAAGCGGTGCAAATTTGAGCTGGGGCTTTTTGTCTCAGTGTGTGTGTCTGGACATGCACTTTGTTGTGGAGCAAATTGTGCCGCTTGGGGCAAAATTACCCTGCCTGGCTCCTCCTGGATCTGCAGCCAGCAGCTCATGGCTACTTGCTCTCAGGAGCTTCTGGGGGAGGAACCTCTGGGAGGAAGTTGGCCACACCCCTTCCTGTCTTAAGCTGTTGCTGGTTGCTGCAAGCTTGGTGTCAGGAGCTTCTGGGGAGAAGATAGCCAGGCCCTTTCCTGCCTCTGGCTACTGCTAGCTGCTGGCTTGGTCTCATAGCTTTTGGAGTAAGTTGGCCACACCCCTTCCTACCTTGGGTGGCTGCTGTTGCTGTTGCTCCCCCCCTCCCCCCTGGGGGGGTCCTCTGCTGTACATTGCTGCCCCTCCTCAGGGAGGGGCCCACCACACCCCAGCACCACATCCCTGTTCCAGCCTGCTGCCAAGTCACAGTCGGGGGACAGCCTGGGGAGGGAGCCTGTGCTGCCTGGGGCCCCCTCCCCCACCATCACTGCCAGAGCCTAAAGGTGCCTTGCCTGCCCCAGCTTTCCTGCCCAGCCCCAGCTCCCCACGCTCACCAGCAGTAGCAGCAGCAGTCAGGGCCGCTCGGGGCTTCATGGCATAGGACTCTGCCAAACTTGGTTGGGGGGCGGGGTCCCTTGAGCTCATGGGGCAGGGCTCGTAGTTGTGGCTCGGATGCCAGGGGGACCTGAGCAGGGAGGGGTGCTGGTGGTAGGGGCACCCCTCTTGTCAGTGGGACGCGCGGATGCCCTCCCTGCCTGGCCCATGGGGCACTCATGATGCAAGTGCCCTGGGGCATGGCACCAGAAGCACCGCAGGTCCCCCAGTGAATAGAAAATCCACACCAAGGCCCCCTGATAAGGAATTGCCAGGTACCCCTCAGCCTCCAGCCGTGCTCCCACCACCATCTGGATCATAACATGGTGTCTGAAAGAGTACATGTGATGGAGGCCGGGGTCTCAGCACCCCAGCGGGAGGGCTACCACTGGGGAGATAACTCTCCCCAGAGTTTGGAGCTGGGAGAACAGGGCCCAATTGGGGATATAGGAAGGGGACGGAGATGAGGACTGCAATGTTCATTTGGTTAAGAACACTTAACCAAATCACTTCAATGTACCAAAGATTAGGGAGGCCTTGTGACTTTTAATATAATGGGCAGACCAAACACCTCAAAAAGAAAGATTCCATCAGTCACCTTAATTTTTATTCCTAGAAAAGTTGTCTACACAAACAAACAGACTTTGCATTCCAAGTGTAACTACAAAGAACTTCTTAATTAATATCATGCTGAGTTGAATAGTTCAGATTTACTGGCATAAAACAAGCTCTCTCCCCATATGACAACACATACATCAGCAAAGTATCCAGCAGCCTAATTGTTTCTCTGCCTGTCAACATCCAAAGTATTATTTCAATGTGACAAAGCTAGGGCATTTTTCTCCTGCACGCAGCACGCATAACTAACTCTACGGCAGACTGTGATTTTACACATCTTTTGAGGATCGGTATTTTAGAAAGCTTAAAAACATATTAATATTTTAATAATAACAATAGTGTTGGCCAATGCTTCCTTTTTCAAAAATGAAAGGACACCCAAATTGGGCATTTCTGGCATTCACAAAAAAACCAATAACCTGATCCTTAAAGTCTTTTTTGCAACAGTTTTAAATTAAAAGGAAAGACTGACACTTGTACTTTAAAGGGCAAACTAACTTTAATGGAACAAATAGCAACATGAAAGCAAAACAATAAAAACAGCCTGTTGTACATGCTGCAGTCACCCAGCACCTATGCTCATATGCAGAACTGAATTGGGGAACTGCATAATCACCGAAGACACTAATATGTCACTCTTCCCTGCCAGACGCTAGAAACAGATCATCCATGAACTATGAAACCTGCAAAATGTACTATGAAAGCCATGTCAGACTAATTTCCAAACAAAGAAAAGCTGTAATGGATCTAAAATAGAGGTGGAACAAATGAGAATTATATAACTATGTAATAAATATCTAACAGGAATATCTGAGAGGAGAAATAATTCCCATCATCATTTCTCCTCTCAGGACAGCCACTTATCTATAAGGTTACAGTATCAATTGTAATAGGCTTGCTTTTTATTCCCTTCTCTTTTATTAATTGTTTATTGCCAGTTAATGCTAATGCTGCCCAATTAATACTGTTTCTTTGCTTTTCCACTGAGATTTGTACTGACAGCCTAAAATTTACTTATGTTGAGCTACTGCCCAAAATATATGTTAGACACCTTCCTAACACAGAGAATGACAATTCTTGCCTTCAGCAGCATAAATCAATCACGTTAACTAGGCCAGGGGAAGGGGAGGATTAAAAAAAAAAACCCCCAAAAGACCAAAAAACCTTCATATTTGATATAACTGAATTTGAACTAACTTGGAAATTCAAAAATAGCCCAATTAAAAAACACAGAAAAATACACAGGTTGTTATTATTCCTGGTTCTAGCAAGGACTGAAAAGAGAAGAGGAAACGCTGACCAGGACATTGGTAGGTGA